ATTACTGTCATAAAGTACCGTGCTATGTCAGAGGCTGTGTGTCGTAGTTGTATTATGCAAATAAATATGTCATTCGCACCTAATATTTGCTATTCTGCTGTGTTTTCTTGGTAGCAAACCGTTATGGGAGTGGGAGTGAGCCTATTGGTTCTAGGCAACAAGGTTCGGATTGAATAATTAAAGCCTTATTTCTAAACAGCGATATTGAAGCAGCAAAATTCGGGCTCATGCAACTCGAGAAGACCGACAGACCTCGTAAGCGCATGACTGAGCTGATGATGAAGCAGAGTGTACCCGCGTATGCTGCGGGTACTGATGTGGATAAGAATACGAAGGAGTTCCATATAGTGTTCCAACGATCGCCTCAGGAAATCAGCGTTCAGGTATGTGTTTCGATGGTATGTACTGCCTATGACAGAGGTTTGGACCACTCAGACAGGCCTTTCAAAGATTGTTTGTCCAGTTCACTGCACAGTTGCGTATATTGAGGGGCGCCATAACACTATTTCAGTGTATATTTGGCAACTGTTTTGCGGTTTCGCTGAGTGGGCAGCCGCTCTCAGCCTATTGATTCTTCACCGTCAACTGAAGTATATACACAACGTATATGAAAAGGTAATGACGTTCACAGATGTTAATATTTAAGCCCACCCTCCTGGCATTGGAATCGCATGCACTCGCCATGACCAACGCAATCATTTGCACTCGCACGTCAACTCGTACGCACTCACGAATGCATGGTATGGGCGCCCACTTCATATTACGCTGGCACATTAGGATGGCGTTGCCACTGGGGTGACACTACAGAAGATGAAGCTCGAGGGTGACTGGCGGACTGCCAAGGCTGTGCCCACCGGAGAGACCGAGACTATTGATTGCCAACTGATTCTGCGAAGTATAGGTAGGTGGCAGGTAGAACCCCTGTGTGTACCGCTAGGCAACGGCGCTGTGGTCGGTTTCCGTGTCCTTGTTGGACGAGTTTCGTCGTGCTCTGGATTTGTGAACACGCACGCACCTACATGATAGTTAGACTGCCGATCACATTGTGACTCGGATATGTTCTATATATGGTAGCTATAAAGTCCATCATCATTATACTAGAGTGCTCATTCTAGCTCTGCCGCACCAACTGCTATAACTACAGGATACAAAAGTCTGCCCATCAAAGGACTGCCATTTGATATAGTCAGAGGCGTCGTCCCGAATGTCGGAGGCTATGTGGCGGACGCAGACGACAGTGCGACCAGTGAAGGCAGCCAAGGTATATGCTATGTCCTCAGAACTATTGCAACCATCACCCGGGTCAGACATTTCTGGACGCCTTCATGCGGCATGTTATACTCGTTTCCAACACACTCAGCTATATTTTGGTTCTTGTTGAAGTATACGCGGGGGGACAGGTTGGGTCACTCTCCGTGTCCAGACAATAGACATGGGCCCGTGAGGTATTGTCCGTATGTGTCGCATAGCATGACGAAGTTTTTCCGGTATAGTATGTTTAGCATAGTGAGTGATATAGATGAGAAGTGTCAAGAGAATCTTCAATCAAGGTCGAGGTAGGCATGTGTGTGATGACCATTGCCGTTCGACTGGGGAGATAGAGACTGGCTGGCGAAGGAATGGTTGTGTTGACTCATCTGCGTTGCTCATTTAGTCTGTTGGTCCTATTTTGGTTCATGTCAATTCATGAACAACTGTCATGAGGTGCAAACTGGGATGTGATTTGTATTGCGACCAACAGAATGCCCTCTAATCGTATTGGCGTTCTTACGCTAATAAGTAGACCTGCGCACATTTCTGATGACCATACCCACATGGATGTGCTTAGTCAGTCTTGCCTAGCTAGTTTGTCCTGGGACGCGCTCAATATTACATCAACGAGGCTTAACTCAAATATCACAATCGAAATGGGTCAACTCGCATCGAAAGAGGAGTACTCTTCTACCCTAGTCAGCAACGGCCATATATGCATAAATGTGTACACATATACTATATAAACTCATTTGTGAGCCTCATCCTCCACAGCTCCTTGCATGTAGCTGTGTGCGCACACTTTCAAATACAGGTCGAGTATGCGTGTAATTCTCACTTTGTTCGACAAACTGCAGGCGGTGACAAACTGGCCAGGCTGTATGCAGCTGGGTGGGTGAAGACCGGGCCGGTGGGTGTCATCCTCTCCACAATGAACGCCGCCTTCGAGACCGCTGATGTCGTATGTGCTTCTAATCTGCCACTTGTTATATGTGCTTCTAATCTACCATTTTGTGCTATAGTAGTGGATCTGTATGATAATTAAAGTTTTTGCTCCGCGATAAACAATTGCACACAGTGGCGATCGTCATGTGTGGATTGATATCAGGTGCGTTGGTCACCTTGAGCATTGATTGGTCCGGGGAGGCAGATGGATGATCTTTTTGTATTTTATGACAACCAATTGGATGCGCAGGTTTGTATATGGATTCAGTCACCATAGTAGTCGCAGGAGCATGCAGGCATACATGCCACGATTCCTTCCCACCCAGGAGCCTTGTAAGTGGACGTACTTACTGTCTCCTCTGCAAACTTTACTTACGGTGATAACCGCCAACTTACTTGTAGATAATCGAAGACTTCAACAGTGGCAGATTAACGGGGAAAGATCTTCCAAAGGCAGACAGCACAATAGACGAACTGCTGGGAGAGAAAAAGGTACGTTGACTTCAGTGTTCTACCATTGCCATTCTTACCTGTGTTATGGCATGTTCCCTTGCATGCCCAATAGCGTCTGTCATTTAGCTCGAATTATTCGAAAGATTTGGGGGTTGACCAACGTGTCAGTCTTGGTAAATAATACTCAAGCTTACTTTGCCATACTTATTTTCCTGCCAGGTGGTGAGCTTCGACGATTGGAAACGCATTGAAGCTGAAGAAATCCACAGAGGGCAACTGCTCAGTAAGCCATTCGAGAAGTTCACCAGCACCGCCGAGATGCTGCAATGGGCCACGGCGATTGCTTCAAACAGCGACACACCTACGTAGTTACAGCTGACGTTATTGTAGTTACAAGGTTGCGTCCGTGTGATTTTGTGCCTCATCCCGGGTGGGGGAGATGAACAGAGGTATCCTAAGTTCGCAAATCCCTGCATGAACTCAAGTGTTGAGCGGTCTGACATGCATTTTGTATGTACTCTGTCCGTCTACTCATGTAACTTCTGGGTGACATGGGGGTACCAAATATTTCGAGTCATTGGGAATTGATATCGCAATTGATGATTGTAAATATGTATTCTATCCGTGTTTTGTGAGGATAACGACTGCCATGGATGTGCACCTGTGACCCGAATATCAACTATGGTTTTGTCCCATTAGCCGTGGTTGTTACCCATAAATACTAAGAATGGCTTATAATTCCAGCTGCAATTCCTGCTACTCTTTTTGGCTGTCGACGAGGGTGTCACAACAGTAACGAACACATATCCACTTACATAACTGATTCAAGCTATTTTATAATAAAAACTAAAATGTGCGTGAATCTGCGATGTCATATAGGTTATTCTCATAGCTCGTTTTATTAAGTGCACCTTGCTTAGTCTGCACACAACTATTCGACAATTGTTGTTGAGGTTCAAGGTGCGCATGCAGCGACACAGTCGCACAGACTTTCCCAGTTTCACGAAAGAAAGGATCAACCAGCAATTGAAGGAGAATAAATAACCGACAGAATGGAGCGTTGTTATGCGAAGCTGATCTTGCAGCCCCCTCTTACATACTGTCCTTATTATGGACAATAGTGACAGTTCAAGAATACGTACCGCTCGCTACTTGTATAAAACTACAGATCAATCATGCAATTTGCAAGCTGTGCGTGTATCTCCGTGTATGTCATTCCAGAGCGTGAAATGTTTTGGAAATAAACAGGTCTTTATTGATATGTATATATTCTAAATTCAAATTATATTGGTGACTCGGTGAATTGTGAGTTAGTATTGGTTGTATCGATGACACAATTTAACCTTTGTCACGTATATGTATAGGCGGGTACGACCATACGCGCCTTCACCATGGCAATAACTCTTTGGCAGTACTCTAGGACCCCTTTCTCATTCAGAAACCTGCCGATGTGCTGTTGCATCATACTCAGAATTAGCTGCTCCACATCATCCAGGGTCTGGACAAGTGCCACGGATGCTACCCCAGTGTCCTGCAGTACCTTGTACTCTTTCATTATGGTCTCCCGCTGTTTGCTGCTGACGTTAAGCTGCATATATGGGTCGTCTACGGCTGTGACATATGTGGTGACAATGAGTGCTACTGCCCTACCTTTCTCTGCTAGATCATGGTGCGCCTTGGCAGCGGACCATGACCTGCAAAATGCGAGGTTTTCGTAGAAAAATCCTTCCTTCGCCATTGTCTCAAATTTTGGGTACAAGAAGGGATCCAATATGATGAAGGCAATACCTTGGAGATCATTTGTAAGCAGGTATGAGGACACACCCTGCAAGTCTGCGTACTGAAACCAAGGTAGTTTGAAGTACCCGGCCAAAACTTTGATGGTTCTATAGCCAAATAGTTCGAACCATGAAATCAGGATGAGGTTTGCGGCAAGAATGACCATGTCAGTGACCACCGTAGGCGCATCGCCACCATACTTAATCGTGTAAAAGCACATACCGGCGAATGTTAAGAAGTAGAACAGCACGAGTCTCACATTTGACCAGAAATCCACGAACAACCCAGGCACTGGTCTGACGGCGTTCAAGTAATACAAACCTTCTAGTAGGAAGAATATCCACATGAACCAGACGCCAGCGTAGTATTGTGCTGTCGAGCATGGATATTTGCCGTATGTGCAGACTATGATTGGTAACGAAGAGATGACCAATAGAACCACATGTAGCGCTAGCCAGTATATTTGGGTCTGAAAGCGGGACGTGGTGAAGATCCTGTATATCATTCGCAGTCGAAGTATAAATGCAGACACAAGGCCAAAATATGTCCATACTGTTGCCACGGCTCCCCATAGTTCAAACTGCAAACTGAAAATCCCTGCGAACACTCCTGTGCCAGAGCGAGCCGTTGAACGTATGATGGCTATTATCAAATACATATACGTGCATACAACGACCTGACCGATGAATAATGAATTGTGACATCGGATCTCAGGCTCATTTCGGAAGACGACCAGAATAATAGATAGTGCGAGAATGATGGCCAAATCAACAGACAGGAATATGATCGTGACCCGGAAGCGGAAAATACGAGAGCTATTTCTGTCGCTGACGTCGTCCGTTCCAAGTACACACCACATATACACGGCGAAGCCTACACACCACAGTACAATGTCTATCAATGTAGTCACCAGCCACATGTACTTTCTCGGGTGCACGAATGAGATTTCTACCTCTCTGTTCGTCACTTGCATTTTCGAATCACTGTATATGGTGTCAAAACCGATGCTTGGCTCAGGAACATCACTGATGGGTGGAGCTGGCCTTTTCTTCTTGGCAGCCTGCTCTGCATTGTTTTCATGCTGGTAACTAATCGTGGACATCATCGGATGGGATATTTCCACACGTTGTTTCCAGGGTGTCAGCGGGTTGTAGGCTAGTCACACACTCTCTATGGGCTGCTCGCTGACAATAAATTTTCTTTGTGCCGTTTAAAATTGTCACAATCCCGCACATTCTCTTGTGAAAGGCTTACCTTAGACATTCATGTGATATCGCGTGATTTCCTATGACGAGCTTTCTCTTCAAAGCACTGACACAGTTCAAGTGTACGTGTGTGACTATACAAAACACACAAATATATACATATGTAGCACAGGTACAATGCTTCAATATTCAAAAAATGTTGTTTTTTTTTAAATGATTTATATTCAGCCGAGCATTTAATTTTTTTAATCAAATTGGTTATTCTACAAAAGTCTGTTCATTTTGCTATGGAGTATGACTACGGTCCGTATGGAACTATATGGATACATAGTCAAACACACAATTGTTTAAAAAAAAATGTGCTCCTTAAAAAAGACATCAATATTTACTAAAAATATGTAAATATTTTTATATATATTTATATATATTGTTTTTAAAATAAAATAAACATGAAATACGGTTTGAACTTTGAGGTTCTGTTTTTCCTAAAATATATCGAAAAATAAAGGAATCTGGATCTATAAAGCCGTATTTCATGTTTGTTTTAGCTCGTACAAAACGTTTGATAGAAACCAACATTAATTTAAACTCGAAAAAGTAGAAGTATGAGACTGGTAGGAAACTGGGCCTGAGGTGGTTAATAATTTTATTGTTACCAGTGCCGTATAAAGACATTCCCCTGAGAGTGAGAATCCACTCTTCGACTCGGGAGTCTCGGACTCGAACCTTCACAGTCACTACTTATTCACAGGCTCCACTTTCGCACTCTCAGTCTCTGTGTCTCTCACTCAGGGAGTCCCGGTCTCCCGGACGATGGACGCCTGGAAGCCGGAAGGTACAGTCACTACTCGGTACTGACTACACTACAGTGTACAATGTATAAATAGCGCACACCCATTTTACACTGTACAGTACTTTGTGCCCTCCCTGTAGGCTTTGGCTATTGGCTACTAGGAACTAAATACTCCATTATTGCTTGAAACTATGCATGGCACATATCTTCTCTGCCTACTAGAGAGGCTCGAGTCCTCGACTCCCGAGTCCTTCGAGCTATTTATATTTCGAGAATCCTTTTTTTAATAAAAAATACAGTATTTTGTATATATTTTGCTTTTGTTTTTTGTTATTTTCTTTTTAAAAACAACCCCAGAGACGTAGAATCGCTATTTCTATTGTTGTGAATAAGTATGTGGAGTTGTGGACTGTGGAGTTGTGGAGTGCGGAGTTATAGTATTTGGTTCAAGAAAAGGTGGAAATGGGGAATCAGAAGTTGAATCAGTGACTCAGTGACCACTGTCCAGTGACTTCATTCTCATAAATACTTTAGACTTCACAGTTCACACAATCACACTTCCCAGAATCCCACTTCCCGATGTACCTCAGTCACCCAGGACTTCAAATCTCAGAGACTCAGACTCAACGACTCTGCCTCGCTCCAGACTCCAGAGAAGATAGGGATAATATTATTTATTTCAAAAATGGCAAGTATGTATGATACAATGTATGAACATATGGTATGGCTCTCATAGTCGCTGTAGTGGTTCAGGAAAGATTGATGGGAAGAAGTGGTCAGTAAATTCCCGTTTGAAGCTTGGGCCAAGTGAGTCGACAATGGAAGATATGTGCTGAGTCAATTCGGGCCGGTGTTGACAAAACACTGTTACTATCGAATGTTCCATATATTCGCTTGCTGACCTACTATGTAGAGTACCCACCTCTGTGGTACGGATTGGGTCTGCGCCGTGTAGTGCCGCGGAATGGGTTAGTGCAGAGTACGAAATACCAAGAAGGACCAGGTTATCCGTCATAATCCGGTCGAGAAGCGAGGATGGGGGTAGGCCGATGCCCCACCAGACCACGGATGAATTCGGTATGTGTTAGCTGGCCTGGATCTGAAGTATCATAGTGGGAACCAACAAGCGCGATGATTTGGTTTGAACCGATATTTGGAAGTAGTACTTCAACAGTGTGATTAGCCGGGGTATGGGGAACATCTGTTGTTGTGTCAGGGACGGGTGAGGGTACGGTGGTTCTTCAACATGCTGGAGAAAAGATCCAGGGTGTTCGTGGAGGGTCCAGATACCGTGGAAGTCGTGGCACTCCTGTAATTGCTGAAGGAGGTCAGGGCCAATAGGCCGCAGAATAATAGATAAGGCGGTTGGGATGTATTGCTTTGGTTTAGCCACAGTGACAGGTGTGGGTCCGAAAACCAAGGGGGGGGATTTTTGAATTATTACTAGATCTCTATTTATATCCACAGGGTTTCAGGCCAAATTGAGTCTTTTCTCAATTGAAGCCAACTAAAAGCTAATATGAACCCAATATCAAGCCAATATAAAGCCAATTCAAACCAATATGAAGCAAATGTGCAGCCAATATGAAACCAATATCAAGCCAATTCCTAAAATATACTCCAAATTAGCCCGAAAAAGCCAATATCGGAAACCCCCTATAAGCATCGGTTTTGAATACTGATTACTGTGTTAATAATATAATTTTCAGTGTGGCAGTCCAAAACATGCCCATATCTGTGGAAAATACACCTGAAGTGTTTTAAAGTCACAAATGCACTCAAAGTCCCAAAAACCAGGAGTGTGGGGCGGGGGGCTTTACCAAAGTAGCACATCCGAACTGCCAAAGGACTCAAGGAGAGGAGGGGCGAGAGGTCCGCGAGGAAGGACCAATACAAATTTCTTTTTCCGGGACCTTTTCCGGGACCCTAAAACGTATAAAATCCATATGTACTTTCTACCGTTCAACGATTGCAACTTTACTCTCAAACGTTTACTGCGGGTTGTTCCTGCATAAATACTCTCGGTTGTTCCTGCATCTAAAATACTCTCTCTCTTCTTGGTGTTTCTCATTTCTGATGACTACTAAAGTACTAAATTCTGACCTATGTATCATTTCCGAGTTCCGAGATATGTGAACCTCTGAGCCTCCCAAAGGACTAAAGCACTGATGGTATCTTATTGTATCATTCTAAAATAATATGGTCTGCCAGAAGTCCTATGATCAAACTAAACGCTAATTAAACCCCAAAGCCTAATAGTTTGTAGAACGTATAATAGAGTTTTAGACAGTAAATAACTAAATATCTGACGACCGACAATATTTTGTCTTTGTAAAGAACATCCGCAAGAATTACATTAGAAACATTTTCATTTTACTCTTCTGTATCTCATTAAAAATTTAAAAATTAAAGCATAAAAAAAAGATATAAAAATTTTAAATACTACAAATATATTTAGAAAATAGACGCGTTAAAAGTAACCTCTGTGCCCAAGGGGCACGGACCACGAGTTTAACCGACGTCTAAGACTTTTTTTTTGTTTTCAAAAAACAACAATATTTACCTCTGACTAAACAGTGTTTTGAATGTTTTCACTTTTTAGTTTCACTGTTTCATATTGGTTTTGTTTTTAGAAATAGACAAAACAATAACAAATTACAAAACATAGTCTTTAGAGAAATATCTGAAATAGTAAAAGCAAAAAATGAAGAAAAAAAGAGAACACAATAGTGTACAATCTTTTTATTATTTCTCAACACATGTTTAAAAGAGAAATTAAAAAATGAAAACAAACAATGAAATATCACAAAGAAAAATATAATATCGCGAAGAAAATGACGATTTTTTTAGGCTATTGTGTTGTAAATGCATATTTAGCTTTCTGAAATCTGATGTTTTTATAACAAGCGAGATCTATTCTCCTAGCGAATATTTGTTGTGAAACCATATGCGTGAATTTGGTTTAAAGACCCTCTTCATTCTCTGCACTGACGAAGTTTCAATTTTTTTTACCTTTTTTATTATTATTAACCTATTACCTTTTCAATTTGTAGTTTTTTACACGTTTTTATAAAATAATATGAGACAAACCTGAAAACAATAGGGACTTTTTAAACTAGAAGAACTGAACTTTATTAGATATTTGTGTATGAAATAAATAACGAAGGTTTTTTCGGATAGGAGAAAATAACGCGTGTTCGTCACTAAGATAATTAGTTGTTATGCAATGGTAAAAACCTAGTTAATGGCGTACAACCCCAGTTGATCTTGTCAACCTGATGAGTGTAGCTCAATACAATATGGGGCTGTCGACAACCCCCTCAAGACAATATGGGGTTGTCGAAGGCATTTTGTGATAGAAGCTGTTGGCTGAAATGTTCATGTTTGGTGCGGCCCAACGATTTTGTCAGAAAATCAACTAAGTTCTCATCGGTGGGAACATATGATATTGAAATAATATCGTGACGAACACAGTCCCGAATGTAGTGGGTTCGGATGTGATGTGTCGTAAACCCTTTGGGGTTCCAGTACCGAGGGCGATTTTGATAGCGGACTGGTTGTCTCCGAAGAGGGGAGTAGGGCCCGTAAGAAGAATGCCCATAGCAGTAGCGAAATTACGGATCCACGTAATGTTGCGTGTAGTTTCAGACATGGCGACGTATTCCGTCTTGGAGCTGCTGAGGGCGATGGTCTTCTGTTTGTAACTCTTCCAGTATCCATGAAACCAAATTAGGGTACCAGTCTGTGAACGACTTGACATACGACAGCCGCCTCAGTCAGAGTCTTTCTACGCAACAAGGGCGAAATCAAAAGTCTGATTGGGCAATTTTCGTTTGTAAGTGATTGAATAGTGAATCGTCGTACGAAGGTAATAGAGAATGCGCTTAAGTGCGATCATATGGGCCTCGGTGGGTTTGGTCGCAAAGGCGGCCAGTTGAACGAGTGGCGGAGATGTCAAGCCTTTTAAGGTTAGCTGCGAAACCAAGGGGGCCCAAAAGCTGGCGGAAACCTTTTCGTTGGGGAGAAAGTGAGTCAACCAGAGTAGTGGAGTGAGTACCTATGCCGGGGGTGTGTTTTGGTAATGTGTGTGGTAGGGTAAATGTGGCTAGAAGGGAACGTATACTTGCATGTTGGTCGATGGTGATCCCCTGGTCATGCTGTGTGATATGGAGACCAACCAGATGAGATGCCAGGCCAAGGAACTTAAGGCTATAATACTTACTAAGAGCTCGAAACAGCCGCTGCTCCTCTCCAGAGTCACGTGGGACGGCCGGGACAATTTCGTTCACATAAAGGACAATGAGAATACGGCGAGTTCGATG